ATAATACCTGAAATATGCAGCAATCAATTGATTTGTGCCTCTATCCTCTGCCCGTCATCCGCGTCGTCAGCACTTAAAAGACTGGTCAACCTCTACATGTACAGTTTGGAATCTATTCAGATTTGTCGACTGAGGTTAGAAGGCTTGAAGCCTATGATGATCCTTTCCGAGCAATTTTCTGCACTTTCTCAGACCCTTCTTGGGTGAGTCAATTGAGGTGGCTGACACCAATTCTTCTGGGATTCGGTTCCAGGAGTTTATGACTCAGCGTGAGAATCAGTACACCACAGTAACATAGAATCTCTTCGGGATTCGCAAGAGCTAATGCTTACGTGTCCAGTGTGCACAACTGCACATTTCGCAACATTGATCAGAAGCATCCATTCTCTGTACCACTCTTACAATTTGTTGAGTTCTCTTTACAGCGTGAGCGCATCACTGTCACCCTTCAGCTCTCCGCAGATTTTTAAGTCGTCTGAGTGTAGGACTGTTGGGGAATCGGTGAGTAAAGATAACTCACTTATGCACAAAATAAATAAGAGAGATTGGAGTACCTTGCTCTGTGGCCCTCCACCACGCACTGTTGTCCAGGAGGAGAGTTTTGAGTTGATCCCAACCCTCTGCCTCCTATCTCTGAGGAATTCTCTAATCCAGCTTATTAGGCTGCCCTTGATTAAAAGACTTTCCAACTTCTCGAGAAGTCTTTTGTGAGGAACTTCATCGGATGATCCGCTGAAGTCTACGAAGGTGACGTCAGCGGGTCTTGTGTTGCCCCTTGACTTGATCTAGCTTTCTCTTGCAGTGAGAAGATTTGACAGGCATGACAGTTTTCCGCGGTGGCCGCTTTAATATGCTGGGCTTGGATAAATCTATAGGAGAAATAGTTCAGCTCTAGATGGCTGAACCAGTCCTATAAACATCTAACTACCTTTATTTCATTCACTATTCTTTTCTCATATTTCATTTCTTTTCCAGTCACTCCCGTTAATTCTTCCTTTATTTTCCCATTAATTTTGTCATGTTTGCGTGCTTTTCCTGCCTCATTTCTCCTACACAAAATCTCTCATCGGCCTCAGCATGCGCTTAGTACAAATTTCTTGAAAGTGTTTGCTCACGTAGCCCTAGAAGGACCTGGCAAAACGCAGTTCATAAGTCCTAGTAGCATTACTCCCCTGGCAGTTGATTGCACTGGAACTCGTCAGAGTGGGAATAACAAGAATCCAGCAACAAGAGATCATAGGAGTTTCACCAGAATCAGAATTGAAATATTCACCATTTTATTAGGTTAACACTAGAAAATTGCATCCTGGCTGTCTTTCCCTCGAAGTGGAGTCATATATCGTAAAAAGAGTTCAATTGGAGGTCACACCTATCAGTAATTGAATGGACGCTTTATCGTCCCGGGTTCGATCCCCGGCCAACGCACTCCTTTACCTCGCTGAGCCAGAAATAAGACTGGTAAAGAGGAAAGGTTGGACATGAGGCTAGCAACCCCATCCTGTAAAAAATTAACATTGCTACAGAAACTTCAAGCCACTACCTTGAGGCCCTATGTTCCACTGGGAACGTGAAAGAAAAAAAAGTTTGTCGTGCCAGAAACGATTTAATAGGATAAATTTATCCTACTGGCCGTACCGTAGTCTGAGATATAGTGGTAGTTTCGGGATTTCTAAGGTGCGATAATATGGCATATTCCTTTTTCAGTGATGCCACCTGCTTCATCTTGAAGGCACTCCAGCAGTTTGGTTGATTCGAGTCAGGGCTAGTTTGGTTTCTTTAGTTCGGGCAGATACGAATGACGCGATTTTGATGTTCATGTAGCTTTTTGGGTGAATTTTTATAAGAATCGTTATTTGACATTGTTCCAAAATATGGATGCATTGTGTGTAGCAGGACGCTTAAATATGTCTCATGCAATGATTATTTGGTATGCCAAGTATGCTTTGTGTACATTTCAGCTGTTGACTTTTGAATAACTCCCCCGCAGCTTGGGTGCAGTCTGTGCTCAGCGGTACACATTTAGATCAGCTGATTTGCATCGACTTTTCTGTTGCAGGAAGTTAAGAATGTGGTTTATATTGAATTATTGCTGCTGCAGTTTTGTGTGGTTTTTTTGGTTGCTTAGAGTGAGTGGAGACCATAGATAAAAGCAAAAAGGAATGTTCATATTTGCGCAGAAATTACTTAATGTTTTACGAGCATGTATAATATTCCCTATGTTCTCTCAAAAATTGTAACTGACATGAATGCACACACTAAACTACTCGGTTACATTCGAATTACTAAATCACCATCCTGATCAGGTACGTGGAGACATCTGCAGAGTACGTCATTCTGTTGTTTTATCATTGTTTTTGCCTTCATCAAATCCTCCTTAATTATTACTGTCCTGAAAATTCATTGTGTTCACGTGCGACGATGATTCACATAGCCACCTTTGAATCATATAGAGATAACGTCCAGACATAAGGTTAAGAAGTGGTTGTTATATTCGATTGTGTCAAAAATACTGACTGACGTAATCTCACACTAATATAACAAACTTCCAGTAGTTCTTGTCGAGTTCACCAATTGATTATTATATTAATGGTTATATTTATGGTTACATTCCGTGAGATCTTGTAATCTGTTTTAGCTACTGGCTAATTTCACTGATTTCATGGGGTCCATTGCTGAACAAAGTGGTTCCCGGCAACAATGATTTTGTAATCTATGGTAAATCATTATTTAATATACTCCTCATTCTTCGCATGGATATTGTACTTGATGAGAGTGAAGATTAACTTCTGCGAATGTTGTGAGCTACAGAATTTGAGGCATTGGCCTCACTTCTTACGATAAATAGTACATCCAGAAGAAGCAATTTTCTTTGAATTCTATCGTCGTCGATTCGCCATCCAATTTTGCTGCCATGATAAATTTGATAGCGGTGATTATTATGAGTATCCATATGCCGGAAGGATATCATGTTACGAAGGAAACTGGTACAGTATTCAAAGATAAAGAGGCTAAGGGGGTCGACGTTCACGGATGGTACGAAGTATACTAACGCAAGATCTTATACCCACAACTTCGATAGTATTCGTCCCGCGTAGGCCAAAGGCAAAGCAAAACACCAGAAATGACCGCCCAAAATACAAATTATACTTCGGGACTAAATCGGAGTGCGAGATGATTGTTTAACTAGCTAAAGATTGTGCACGAACGAATGAACGTAACATGACAGAGTGCCAAATGGCGTGGATGTTTGACCTGAAGCCTTCAACTAAACAAATCGATGAATGCAATGAGGGTCAGGATCCAATGTTCAGTAATGAATGCTGTGCCAATTATTTTGGGGAACTAATCACTGCTACAATGGGTAGAACTGTCCGTCAAAACGAAAACAGTTGCTTACGCAAAGGAAATGCGACATTTTCGGAATTATAACATCAAAAGATTAATAAAGTTATTAACACGGTTTGTGTGCGATCAGTTAGAGATATATTTGAAAGTAATAGTAGACTATCAACAGCTGTAGGATAGACATTTGCCGAAAAGTAAAAAAGATGCAAATGCGGAAGTGAATGCATGGATAAACTGCTTCAACTGGCCAGTGTATTCATGTTTTGAATTGAAACATTGGGACAGCGTATCCTGAAAACAGGAGTAGAGCAGTCTACTGACACTACTACTTGGTGAGCGGCTTAATGTTATCTTTGAATTATGGTTGAAAGCGAACAGTTTGCTAGACTATCCAAATGACTTAAGATAAGTGTGTCTAAATAATCATTCACTCCTAATCTTTATATTTGAGTAACTTAGCAGCATGGCGTTTTCTTTCAGCCTTAGATTACAATGTAAAAGAGGATACCCTTAGAAGTTTCTTGATAAAAGCTTTTTTGTCGCGGAAGGAAGTAAATATATTCACATCCCCGAGAAAATATTTAAATCACCAAGGCCTTTGGAGTTGTCTTTCTAGTACCACAACGACGGAGGGCCGATTGAAAGAAATGTCCTCTTGATGTAGCCCAGAGTTTACGTTACACAACACACGCCTAAATCTATTCCAGAGCGTCTGTGTGAAGTATGGCACTTCGACTACACGACACAAGTGGACATTAAAGGGGATTAGAGAAATTCGTTAACTATATTGAACCTTAGCAATTTTACCACCAACGATCAATTTGTTTATCCGTGCAGAATGAAAGACGTGGTGGTAAATATGATCTCCAAGGGACAACGGCTCGGCCGCTTATGTATCATGTGATAATCTACTTGCACACTCTCTTTAAATCATCGTCAATAAACAAATCTTTCAGCAGCCGTGTGTGCTATATTCTTCTTTTTGCTAGTTGGGGTAGTGTTAACAGCAGTCTGGCCACCAGGCTAGGTGGACCAGGCCAAAGAGTCACTGGGTAGTGTAACTAGCGGTCAGGTCCAGTAGGATTGATAGCCGCACATCAATCGTGGGCTCTATATCTAGTCTAAACCGACTAGAAACGAGTTTGAAGTCTTTCTGTGACGAGTGCTGGCGATAAGATTTACCAGTAGTATATAAAGAGACGTTCATCGGCATAAAAAGAGGAAATAACAGGAAGATACAATTGACTTCATTGAAGGCAAATGATACAGCGTTGTGGTAATGCATTGGAGAGGTGAAAGGAACACAGAAAAACGCAGATTGAGGTCTGGAAGTAACACAACACGAAGATCTGAGCAAATGGTTTGTTGAAGATAATCTATGCATAATTTGGCTATATTGAGATACTAATTCCCTAATATCATTCCTTTACGAAGTCTTTCGTCTTCCACATTTTCAGTGCAAGCACCATATTTCCCGGATACTCAGTTCGTAAATTCAACTTGTGCCCTCAGAAATTTTACAACAAAAAGAATACATTACCGGAATATAATGCTGTGTTACATTGGGATTCGTGAGTTTATGGGCAGAACACGCTTTTAATAATATCTTCATTACCAATCCTAGCTGAAAAAGTAATTCGGCTGTGTCGCATATGGTTTTGGCAGGATCTGCCACTACGAAGTTATGTGACCTATAACAGTTCAGTCAAGAAACTTTGCAGGAAGATGTTGCAGCTTTGCCGACAATCAAATAAAAGCATCTCATTTATTCAGGATGTAAACAGTTACGAATACACTATTAGCTCACTGTACCCAGCCAACATCACTCTAAGAAAGTGGAAATTGTACATAAATACTGTTTCCGTAACTGCAAATACACCTTAACGCCTTTACTGCATACGCCTTCTACTTCACTACTCCACATTATAATAGTCTGATAGCTTTTTGTGAATATAGTTAGAAGTATTTCATAGACTACGAGATAATTACTAGAAAAGGATAAACATGAGCCATTTTCTTCTCTTGTCAAGAAATTCTCTGAAATATCCCCATACAGGATGTTGGTGATACAGAGGGCTTTTTATTTTCTGCGTTACAATACGAAGGGGGAACTTATTTTTCACACGTGGATAACTAATGGATGCAATCTTTGGATTTTATACATAGTAATGACACAGACCTTCATAAATGTGCACACAACACCAGTGCTGATGTCTACTTATTCGAAGATTCAGACATGAATGTCCAGAGTCATGATGAAAATGCCCCACTTCTCGGAGATGACAGTGATAATTTTTCTCCTGATTCGTATTCACCACTTGTAAATGATGTGCACAGCGATGCAGACTTCAACAGGGTTGTGCAAATGTCGTTACAGGCCATTGAATCTGGAATCCATCCTGAAAGGATTTATCAAGGATCGAGTGGTAGTTATTTTGTGAAGAATATAGATGGCGTGAGTTTCACCACTGAATTGTTTGTTTTCTGTGTATACTTGTTTCTTTTAAACCAATTGTTAGAACGTGATGATATTAGATGGTTGGAGGCAATCTGCAGGAAGCCTTGGACCTAGGTTTCGTGCTAGTTGGCACTCGTCAGCAAGGCGTATCTGCAACCTTGAAGAAACTCATGTCCCTTCTGAGATTCGAATCCGTGTCACCCAGTGTTGCAGTCAGAAACGTTAGCACTGAGCTATTCGGGCTCGTGATTGACCTCCTGTAGGACTGTGGTGGATATTTTGATTTGACACTAGTAACTAGTGTGATGCGTCTAGTCCTCTCTTTGGTGCAGACTGAATTCTATCAGTCAGGTTGTAATGTGGCCACCATTCTAGGTAGCTCGCCATCATGGTGTACATTGTTTGTGATGATATTAGATGGTTGGAGTCAATCGAGGACTAGACGCATCACACTAGTTACTAGTGTCAAATCAAAATTGTTAGAACGTATTTGTCGTTGTATGTATATATGTATATACGAGGAGAGGACTTTTTGAAAGCTAATATGTGCATATATATTTACGGATGTTCTTTCTGGGGATGCACATGTTGACTTAGTTTCACCTCAGAATGCAAGTGTGGACGGAATATTTCTGCAACTACAGCTGTTTAATACAGGTGAGATGCATTATTGTCTGCTGAACTGCCTACAGTATTAGGATGCCTTTAGAAAACTTGTGGTCAACACATTTAACCACTCCATTGTCTGTTTTTAAACTTGAAGTCAATGCAAACCAGCTGTGCAGCATCGTCCGCATATCTTAGCAAATCAAATGCGGAGCACCCCCGGATTCTTGCACAAGGCATTCTTAGTTCACTCCACTTTTTCATCGTCTCCAACTATACGAACTCTTTCAAATACTTACTCTAGGTCAGTGGCACCTCAAGCTATAAAGTGAATCCTCAGCCGGAGTTAAATTTATCAGTTTATCTAAAATGAAGTTAAGTAATAGTGAATTCTGGTGTCTGATAGACAACACTGGTTCTTGTCATTTCAGATGTCTTTTGTCCATCAACTGTCACCTGACTGAAAAAGTTCAAGTAGGGTGCACTGATTAGTATAATGTACTTCGTGCGTCGGTGGCATAGCGGTAGAATGCTTGCGGACCACACACGTGGTCTGGCGTTCGATTCCAAGCTGACGCACTCCCTTACCTCGCTAAGCCAGTATTAAGACTGTTAAAGAAGGAAGTTTGGACATGAGGCTAGCAACCTCATCCCATAAAAGTAAGCACGACTGTTACCGAAACTTTAAGCCTCTAAATTGAAGCTCTGTGCTCCACTGGGAATGTAAAGGAATAAAATATCTTCAAGACTCCCTTCGTTTAATATTACCACAGCATTTCTCGATCGACGAACTTAAATACCACCTCTAAGTTCACAAATATGGATTGTAAGTTCTGTGTATGTTTATGTCTCAGAACTCATCGGAGTGTGAACGTAAGATCAGTACACCGTCATGGTCTGAAAACTATCGTTTTCTCTAGGTTGTTCCTTCAGATAACCTTTGGAATATTAGATGTTGTAGTCAAGCTTATCTTATTACGATAATTACAAGAAAAATTATTTTTTCTAGAAACTGAGACAATCAATGATCTGCATCAATCTAACGAGCCTGTTTCAGATTCTCAAAAACTAACTAGTACCTTAGTTTTTCTAGTGAACAATTCATTGCCATCACTAACTCGTGTAGTCTTAGATTAGTGACAGCTTTTAGAACCTCGATTACACCTCATTTAGCCGGATATTGAATGGTAAAACATCGTGGCTGTAGGTCAGTTGTTTTGCTCCACAAAGTAATCTTCAAAATTTTCCAATAGTCTCTCATTTAAGCCTTCTAAAATTCCATACATGGCGATAATTTCATGATTCGCATATTTATAGGACGTGCCTTCCTGATAAATCTGTTTTGTCAGTATTACTTATTCGTGCTACCGTTTCCGTTTTTCCTCTTTCTTTACACACCGTTGTTCGTCGTCGCTGCGAGGACTTTTGATGAGTTTGTCAAGGAGTAACTGCTGCTTTCCACCTGGAGTCCACGAGGATCTATGGGATAATATTATGGTTATCATTTTTCAGGGGATTTAACGCTATGCTAATATTCGTCAATGCCGTACTGTAGTTATGTTTTGTATATTGCAGCCTGTGTCGAAGTAACTTCATTCTGCATTTCTATTTGAATTGCTCTTTGACTGCCCTTTGCAAATGATATTTAGGACGTGTTTATAGCAATCTCTATAAGGAGATTGTCAAATTAAAATCTCTTAAACACTGCTGTTTGAAAGTAGGATTCTAATCTTTTTGCGTCGGTGATCCTATAAAGTTATGGTTTTGTTTCGCTCAGTCCTCTGTCCATAATAAGTGGAGAAATATTAGGACGAATTTTCACCATCTGTCTAATGTTGGTTGGTTTTCTCTTCAGTCACTCTAATGGCCAAATGCTTTGACTATATTCTAACAACGTCACTTAATCTTTACTGAGGCGTGGTACCTTAATAAATCTACTTTTTGTAAACTTTTGCGTTGATTTCTCCATCTTTTCGTCTCCCAAACCATTAAGTGCATTTACTTTGGTCTGTTGATCTATTTATCTTACCTAGTAACCAACGTGAAGGCTCTGTAGTTCCCTACTACACAGTCGTTTCAAAACAACTGATTTTGTGAGATATTACTGTCAACTGGGTGTTACTTATTGATCGTTACACTTTGTAACAAATGCATTCATTCTTCGTTTCCTTTTATTTTATTAAAAATATAGCCCTTCAACTTCTCATCCTTTTTGTTTGTGATATTCTTTTTTACTGTAATTCATGTTGAAATTTCTCAGTATTGTCTTTTGGTACATTCGGAAGTATTGTAGCTGAATATTGTACGTAAGGACCTGCGTTTTCGTATTTGTCTGTAAGCTTATGTGTTCATACTAAGAGAAAACAATGTATTTTTAAAGAATACTGTTTCTCCTTCATTCATAAGTTATTCAGTTTAAAAGGTCTTGATAAGATGTAAAATACTGTGTTTAACTGCGTCCATGTATGTGTTTATCGACTGAGCTGTGATCACGAAATACAATTAACAAGTGCCGAAATTTTTTTACTGCTATGTTTTTTGTTTTCAGTCCAGGCTTTTAGGAATCTATAGTTTAATCGTATGTGTTAGGCACTACCACTCTAAAATGTATTAATAAACCATTGAACTGTTTTAAAGTTAATGCAGTGAGAATTTGTCAACAGATAGTTTAAAAATGTTGAAGTGAAATATAGATTTCTAAAGTAAATTATGGTTGGTATCCGTCATGTAATCTGATATGACTCACTCCATAATTGTGTCCTTAACTGACATATTTAATGTTCTTGTTTTGTAGAAAAAAATAGCAGTATTTAAACCTAAAGATGAAGAGCCTTATGGCAAACTTAACCCAAAATGGACTAAATGGATGCACAAACATTGTTGCCCGTGTTGTTTTGGCCGTTCATGTTTAGTTCCAAATCAAGGCTATCTATCAGAGGCCGGTGCTAGCCTTGTTGATCAAAAACTCCGACTTAATATTGTCCCCACAACAAGAGTAGGCAAAGTTTCTTGTTTTTTTTTCTCATACTTATTTTTACACTTGACTCACTAGTATTATCGTAATTGTCACATGCATTTTTGTTGTTAGGTGTTTTAAATCAGTGAGAAAAAGCTACCTGTATGCTTCACTAGGTGGAAATCTTCCTTTTATTTCTAGTATTAAACATTTTATAATAACCGCTAACATGTGAGCGGAATAAAATTAACAAACTGAAAAATAAGTGCCAATAAGGGTTTCTAGACGACTAATAAAAGTATCATAGTTGAAAACAATACAAAAAAGTTATTTTCTGATTTAAGTCTGCCTAAGTATAGTGTGGAGGTTGTGATTTAAGCCATTGGTCTTGAGTTCAGACTCTGTTTTATTCTTCTTTTAACCCAGGAGACGAGGTAGCGTAATATGTCCTCACTTTCTGTTTGGTTCATAGTCTAATGCATGAAAACTGTTCTTGATAATTAATTTGTAGCATTACTGTTACTCGTCAGTTCCGCCTGTAGTTGAAACGATGCTTCCCAGGTAGGTAACTGACGAGGATATCAAAGCGAGGATCGGGAAAGCAAGACAAGCTTTCATTACTCTCAAGTCTGTGTGGAAGTTAACAGCACTCAGCATCAAAAATAAGATCCGGATTTTCAACTCCAATGTGAAGTCAGTGCTACTATACGGATCAGAGACTTGGCGCGCCATAAAGAGCACCTCCAACAAACTACAGACCTTCATTAACAGCTGTTTTCGTTCAATACTCAAGATCAGATGGCCAGAAAAGATCAGCAATAGGGATCTCTGGGAGCAAACCAACCAGGAACAGATTGTGCAACAAATAGGCAGGAAGAAATGGAGATGAATTAGTCATACTCTGAGGAAACCATTAAGTGACCACTAAACAAGCCCTCGAGTGGAACCCGAAAGGGAAGGGGCGAGTTGGTCGTTCAAGGGTGACTTGGAGGAGGTCATGTGAAGAGGAGATGAAAGCATGTGAGCAAACTTGGAGCCAAGTGAAAACTCTAGCAGAGAACCGAACGCAGTGGAGACGCACGGCTGAAGCCCTGTGTTCCTCTAGGAATTAAAGGAAATAATAATAATTACTGTTACTATTATTATTGTCGCATAATTGTGGCAATTTGTTATTATTGTCAAGCCTAGTTGAATCGGCAGCTATGTTCAGCAACAAAGCATAAATTTACTATTATTTCGCTGTTAAAGATAAATCCAAATTGTTTTAATTGTGACAATCAACATATGGTTGTTCTGGAATCACTGTGGGATTCTGCTGCAGTCAGCATCAGGAACAAGATTTGGATTTTCAACACCTGTGTCAAGTTAGCCGGTGCATCCATATGACTCAGAGACTTAGCATATCAACAAAAGCATTTAAAACGGGCCTCTGCACATTTCAATCGACAGTCATCTTCTTTCAATACCGCAGATCACATAACCGGTCACGGGGAATAAGTAACGGGGAACTTCGGCAACAAATCAACTAAGAATGAAGACATATGGAGCGTCTGAGGGCGGCATGGAGGAAACTGTGTTTATTGACAATCGTGAAGCCAACTACGTATGGCTGCAGAGAACAGAGTAGGATGGAGATGTGCTGTTGAATCCCTATATGTTCCACTTGGAACCCAAGGGAACAATAATAAATGTGTGGTTGTCGTTAAATCATATCGTAATTGGGTGATTTGCACTAGACTGCATATTAACAGTCTGTACATTCATGTACTATCTGAATGCATATTTTGTGTTTGAGTAGAAATATCTCAGGGATATTTCATTTTCATCATGTTAATCACAAACACCAAATATTGTGATTTGAAAATTGTTCTGTTCATCAGGTCTAGATTATGCTATGACCTGTTGTTATTGTAAATATATTGTATCGATCTGAGAGCTACAATTCCAATTAGTGAGTCCGGAATTCAAACTTCATTTCACTTGCTTCCTTATGAGCAGCCTGATAGTATTATAAATCCTGCATATATATAAATATATATTATTTAGAGCATAAATTTTTACCGTGTTGTCGACTCTCATTGTTCTTCACTAGTTCTACTTTGCCTCATAAGATTGCTTTTAGACGGCGATTTATAAGTGACAATATTTTGTTTCATACTTTGTTTGCAAACTTGGATAACTTGTAGTTGAAATCGAAGTGCTGATGAATATTTCAGTCGGAGTTTTACAATAAAATAAACAACTAACTCTTGGCTAACATGCTAAAAATGAATAAACACCGTTCATCATCCAATTGCTTATTTTTGCTTGAATAGTCTTTGTTGGCAAATCATATGTCCTACAGTCAGTTTTGATTTCACAGATAGGATTTTATGCCCTTATTGGAAAAAGCTATCCGTGTTTATGTTTATAAAAGTGTGGAAATCGATCAACATTGGTGAAGAAAAATATCAAAGGTTATAGTATAACATATTGAGTTTGAAAGTTGCCACGTAGATATATTTTGTACTTCATTACAGCCTATTTTTATTGGCGAAATCGTCTAAAATCACAGGTAAATTAATATTTGTATTATTGATGATGAGAATATCTGAGATTGCATTGGGCGTTGATAGGCTGGTGTTGAGTAATGTCCAGTTGCCACGTGGGTAACTGATATGTTAATGTCGGTTTATCATCACAGATATGTCTTTCAGAAGATCGCCAATCTTCAGGATTGCCTGTAGGTTATATCCTATTAAAGGTTTTGATTACAGGATTTCATCATGAGCTGACATTAGTTAGAGAACCATTGGAAAACCAGGGAGTACTAGACAGCTGTTTCGTCCTAGTTTGGGACTCTTCATCAGTACACACCGACCGGGGTTCAAACCCAGGACCTTCTGGTTACAAGGTGAGCTCGTATTGTATGAAATCCTGTAACCAATCAAATCCCTACAAACCAACACTTAAAAGTATTGACTTAGATCTTAACTTTATTAGTTTGATAAGAAGTCTTTGACACCTAGTTATACACAGAATTTGTTAAAATGTAAAGATTTTTGGGTATGGTGTGAGGTATTCTTGTTGATATTAGAAAACATTTGTGTGCTTTATTGAGTGTAACAACTAGAACTGCAAAAGTTCTATGTTGAAAATTCAGTTAGCCATTTATGGTTTGAGGACATTCTACTGAAACATTTGTGATATAAAAAACGAATAACTCCTCAATATGACATTCATTCCTTAATATTAGAATAAACATTAAGATATCTGAAACTGAAGTTTTAAATAGGTTCTAGGATGAACTTCTATTCCTACGACCAGTTATGTTTCTCAGTGGTGATGCTGTCTGATATCGTCTTTGGTCTACAGTCTATCATTGTACCACGATCTAGATTTTCACTTCGTCACCCTCTACATCAATAATAGTCAAAGACTATCTCAGATATTCTTAGCGCTGAAGCACAATCTGCATCTCTGTTGTCCTGATTCAGTAGGATTAACATTGACAATTGGGCAGCTAGTGTGGTGATAAACAAACATGTATCATTCATTCACATGACACTTGGTAATAATTGAGGTCATTTCAGTGAAACGATGACCTGGTTGGAAGTTGTATGTTGTAGCTGAGCTTTCAGAGTGCAAATTTACTATTATTGCTTTTTTCAACTTCGTTGTGTATGAAAAGTGTGTATTAATCAGCTGTTTATTTAAAAGAGAACAATCATGCAGTATTGTTTAATCGATATCCTTTCAGATTCAGTGTGTTGTCCATAGTCACAATCTTTGTATAAATTACATCCTACCAAAGTGCTCATTTTCTCTTACATTTACAAGCTGAGTATTTTTAGACCATATTTAGTGTATGCCTTCATTTTTGCGTCTTCTAGGTTGTTCGTTTAGTAAGCGACAGTTTTAATTATAGTCCCGTTGACCGTGCAAAATCTAAGACTAAGCAACATGTGGCGTCACATTTCCCTGAGATTGGTCGTCATTTTAATCGTCTTGGACTTCCTCCTAAGGTAAGTTTTCTTTGATAAAGTATACTGACATAAACATTGCATTTGTTGTGGCACAGCTACAACGTATACTTTTCTATGCATACATGTATTGATAAGTAATTATTAGCGTAGTTTTTGGTAAATAATGAACCCACTTCCTATTTTCATTGCTGTTTTAAAAAAAATTAGCAATCTGTTATTTATAAGCTTGTTTACAAAATAATAAGTAATCAAGACATACAGAAATTCACTTTATGTATGCTTAAGTCAGATGGCTTTAAAAACTATCAAGAGTGTGACTGAGTAGTTTAGATATCAAATTTTGGGCCGAGATGGTTCCACCGTAAACTTTTTCTTCCCAAAAGGCAGTAACGCACACGCTTTTTGAGTCCGTCATGTTCTGGAAAGTTCATCTGTGGGAATTCAGATGCATATTTAATTACCTGTACTTGTTAGCCTGTGTTTGCGATGGGATAAAGTCATTTATCATTATTCTTCATTCTATTTGTTCCAGGTGGCACCTCTCCATTGCACCATGTGTCCTGCTGTCACATCTAGCTGGCTTTACAGCTGCTGATAAGCTTTCACTTCCTCTTCACATGATCTTGTCTATGTCACTATCGCATACCTAACCCGTTTCTCCCTATTCAGGTTTCACTCGAGGGTGTTATGTGTAGTGTTACGTCGTAAAGGTCTTACTGTATATCCAATCCATCTACCTTTCCTTTTGCTTATTTGTTGGGCAATAGGTTGTTGGCTTGTTCTTTGCCAGAGTTCTTTGTTATCTCTCTTTTTCGGTCATTTAATCTTCAGTATCGAAAGAGGTGAGTGAAGTTTGCAGCAGCTTGTTAGGAATTCTTATGCTAATGTGCACGTCCAGTCTCTGGACCATATAGAATCAGTGATTAACTTGACATTAATGTTAATAATTAGGGTCTTGTCCCTTGTGATAAGTACTGCAAATCTCTACACTTATTTCAGAGCGTTGAAGGCCTGTCTTGCTTCTTCGATCCTTTATGAATTCATCACTGTTACCCTTGCTGCTTGTAGTTGGAGCGATACTTTCCAGGTCACGTAAGTGAAAGAGATGGTTTTCTCTTGACTTCTGTTGATGAGGATTGGTACTTGTTGGTCGGATGTCTTTACCACTTCACTGGTTAAGACAGTCGGCTCTCAGCCAATGGGCTACGAGTTCGAAGCCGGCTCCATTTATGTCAACCTGGGCAACTAGGTAGCATCATGAGCCCTTACACAATAGACGTCGCTATTAATATGTGTTACATGAAGATGTGTTCCGGATAATCGAGTTTAAATATTCTTTATATTTGTTTGTTGAAAGTTAATGAAGATTAAAGTTAAGGAAAACACATCCACGTTATGTCAAGATTCCAGTTAAACTCTCGTTAACTCAGTCGGTAGATTGCCGAGTTGATTACCCAGCAGCCGCTAGATCGATATTTTACTATCTCATAAGTTTTTATTTCAATTTCTGTCGATGTGGTTAGTGGGTTGTTAATTCACATAAAACTATCTAGATTGTAACTCTGCTCCTCATAATGGTGTTCATTGTTACTAACATAGACTGAAGTCCATGTGTGGGTATATGGGAAGGGGTGGAAAATAAATTTAAATGTCTGTATTCTTTATGGTTTGCAATTGCTATCTTACAACTATTCAATATCTATTGTTCTTCGTAACTGATAAAAAAACACATTGTTTTCCTCATTTTGTTAGATTGGATCTTTTCAACTTTTTGTTTCCGATTGTGAAGATGCCGATTACTGGCTTCGTCATTTTGACAATGAGTCACTTCCTAAGCCCACTGCCAAAGAATTCCAATTCCAATTTGAGAAGCTTGTCGTTCTTGACTACCTCATCCGTAATACAGGTATGTTTCTTTTTACAGATATCCAACTTAAAATTGTCTGTTTTTGTAAAAAGATACTGACTGACCACCAATTAGTGTAGTAAACTTTGCACAGAAGTTTATATCAAGTTTAAGTTGTTATACCTGGCTCCCCTCCGGAGCCAGCGATTTTCGGTGCGTCGGTGGCACAGTGGTTAGGACTCTCGCCGACCATGCACATGGTCCGGGGTTCGATCCCCTGCCGACGCACATCCGATATCTATGGTCGGCCTGCAAAATTTGGGCTACCGATATCCATGCTGAAAATTCCATACTTGTACTGAAAACACGGTGTGGCATCAAGCTGTAAATAAAAAAATCAAAAAATAAATAAGTGAGCAGAAAGAGAGTGATGCTGTAGCTTAGTGAATTGAAGTGAGCGTAGAAAATACTGTTTCATCAGCATTCTAGTGTTTCAACCATAAGTTCAAGTAGCCTGCAGAGTTACAGCCATTGGTCGGTGGTTTACCATTCCTGTTTCCACACCATTTACTAAGCTTTCGGTAATCCGGTTGTGTCACTAGTGTCCATGCAAAAGATGTGACTCTGTTAAGTGTGAAAATCTGCACTTGGTTCACTCGTAGCACACTGTGATGCATAAAACAGAAATCAATTGTTTAGCATTTTTGAATTCCCGATATGATGTGTTGGCATATCATCACCACCTCTCTTGAGTGGATACTTTGGTCATACCCTTGATTTTAAACTTGACTTTATTTCTGTTAAGCGATGGTTTGCAGTATAATTTAGGAGATGATAATTGCTCGGTTTGAGTTTCAGCGGGAATACCACCACTCACTGGTGGTGACAAGTGTATGTATATACAACTGAAAAGTTGCAGATAGGAGAAGACGTGCATCTTGGATTACACTATCAGTTGTCACCTGACAGAAAATGAAAACTAACTGGTCTGGTAAAGATTTTGAACTTACTATCAACTGATGTATTCCTTGATAGATATTGGAATAATCATTAAGGCTAAACATATCTGCACTCCACTTCTTTCTATTTCATGTTTTTACATGTTTTCGTGTGTTTTCCTATCTTTACTAATATCCATGTTCTTGTATTTAAAGAGAATACTAACTTTAGTCAATTTACTACAATCCTAGTTACTACATTATTCCTCATTTTGTTGCCATATAATATCGTTTGTTCATTATAGTCTCAACAAACCAATATTTCTTCTTTCTCTAGGTTTTGGTTGTGTTGATTTTTGAATTTATTTCGATTAGGTTATTGATTGCAATCGTAGAGTGCATAGTTATTAATATAGAATCAAGTCGTTTTCTGTAATTGCCTGTTTTCACTATGTAGATCGTGGAAACGATAACTGGCTTATCCGTTATCATAGTCCAGAATTGAAAGAAGGAACCGATGAGGTAAATTATGAATTCTGGTGTGAAATAACTACCTTTATATTCAGTGATTATCATCTTGGTAAACTTTAATAATGAAGAGGTACCTTTTTAAACAAAACAAGACCTGTGGATAATGATATGTGCCACTGATTGACTATTATGATTAATTGGCAACCAGTCACATCAACCAGTAACCGGTCTTTGTTAGCCGGATCTAAGTGCTGAACGGTTGTTTCTGTCATTTGTGACCAACCCCATCAGCGGTGCACCAGGTCTGACTCAGCTGAGAAAGTCAAATCAGTTCAAACCACCTGAATTATGACCTGTGGAATAATAAATAAGATGTTACTCAACAACCACGTGAAAGTAGTAGTGAGATACACCCATTCTTTAAGGGCTAGTGGTGCTACTTCTGGCTGCTCAAACCTCAATAGATGCGGAGGACTGGAACCCGGAACTCAGTTAACGAAAGCTGAGTCCCTAAGTCACATTTCCACTTATGATACTGTTTGTTGAGTATAGTTTTCTCAGAAATCACCATTATAAAACTAAACAAATCGAATATTATTCTTTGCTTTTTCTTCCTTAATAAGTCTCTGGGCTGTAATTCCTCCACCCTTCTCTAAGTAAACTTTGATAAATACCTTTAGCTGTATTTCCAAGTAGTCTTATCCGTTGTAGTGCATTACTTCTGTCCGTAGTGGTGAGGAGACCACTTAGAGTTCAATGAGGGAAACATGATTAGTTTCTCTTCAGGTGTCTTTGGTTGGATAGAACCATTTTATGAACTTCTTGTGAGACAATGTTATAAATGATATGCGTTTACTTAGTATAATTATTTACTTCAAACTATCATTAGGCGTCATTTAAGGCAGTTAGTTACTACTTCAGTATTGAGATGACACCAGACTTGTGTCACAGAAGTTTATACTGTCCCTATCCCTATTTTATTTAATACTACTCAGCTGTTCAGGTTTCAGTCGATGAGACATGACTTATGACTCGTGATGCAGTAATTTTGAGTGAGTGGATGAACCGTCGCTCTACTAAAGAGTTTATAGTAATTTGCCGGTTTGTTGTCTCAAAATTGTGTCAACTTTAACTGTTGGATTTGTAATGGATCTCTTGGCGACAAAAACTATATATATATATATATATATATTCCTTCACGTTCCGAGTGGAACATAGGACTTCGACCTTTGAGCTTTGAAGTTTCAGTAGGAGTGGTTTTATTTGCTTTTTAACAGGGCGAGGTTGGTGGCCTCACGGCTAACCTTATCTCTTTACTGGGTTTACTATCGTCTGGTTAACAAGGAAGGTTTAGGTGTGTGTTGGCTGGGGATCGAGGCGGGACCACATGCGTCATTGGCGAACTCTCTGTCACTGAACCACCGGTCCTTTGACTCTCTATTTGTGCATGTTATCCGTCGTTGTGGTATATTAACTTACACAGAGTAGTATGATATTTCGTAATGTTTTTTTTCATTCGAAGTATACACGTATATGTATTCATTGTTTTGTCATTCAGTATGTCTTACTGTTCTACTGTAATCTTTCTCTATTTCACAGACTACTAAAGATGATTGGGGAGTTGTTGGTATGCCAAAGATTGAATTGTTTGCAATTGACAATGGTTTGGCCTTCCCTTTTAAACATCCTGATGAATGGAGAGCATGTAAGTGGGAATAAATTGACAACTACTTCCAAAAGCAAAAAAAGTTCAAACAGTATTTTCACATTTATATATATATATATATATATATATATATATATATATATATGCAATTAACAGTTCTCACTGAGACACAAAAACAAACAATTCAGCGAAGAAAATTCTCTTTTTCATGATTTCATTTTCATAACTGTTCAATCTTATAAATATATGAATTGCAATGGACAATAACAGTCAGTCTCTTTTTGCGTGTGTTAAAGCTTGATGGTAAGTGGAAATACTAAAGTGCAATGATATTGGTGTATAGGACTATGAGTCACAACTGATTACATATATGAATGAATAACTAAGTAAACAGGGGTTAACCTAAAGTTCAACAAACATGTGTGGGTGCGTACTGCCGATGATTCCCGAACTCGGATGAAACAACTGTCCAATACTCTCTGGTTTCCAATGGTTCTCTAACTGATATCAGTTCTACTATAAGTTCTAAGTTATTATATATACATATTATTTCTATTAAATGAATTGAGGTTGGATACGGAGGTAGTGTGTAGTGTTTTTTAGTAGTTCGTGTTTTAAAAAATGTCTTAAGTGGTGAAACAGTTATATTTATATGATGGCTGTTAGCTACCAATTATCTCCTATATAGCTCACCTCTATTTACCTATTCTTTAGTTTAACTGTGGAGCTGTGGCTCCTCTGGAATAGACGCTCGAATTGTAACCACTGTGTCGCGGGTTTGAAGCCTACTCCCGCTGCACACATGTTTATGTACTTGTCAGCTGAAATCTCTGTGTGTTATATAATCACAAGGCCAAAATGTTATTTTCTTTGGTGGTGGCTAGTAACGAAGTCCAGGATGCGTATTCCATCTTATTCGGGACTACAATCTCAGTGGACGATAGTATTCCCACTGAAGCTCAGTCGCGACACCCATCGTTCCAATTCAAAAGTAATAATTCCAATAAATAACAACTGTTACCTGTTGCACAATAAATAACTCTTGTGGCCTAGTGGATAATACTTTGGCATTCGAGAAAACTGGTGCTGGATTCGAACACCATCAGTGAGTGAGACGATGAGTCTCAAATATGAGAAAACTTGTGAAAATGCAAATGGTTGTTGAGTAACACTTTCAATCTTTCCAGTTTAAGTAGAAATTGTTAGACATTTTAAAAATCCTCTTTCATTTTTCATTGTTTGTAAACGTTTAACATCATGTTATTTCTTTTTGAATTGTCACCATTTTTCTTTTTCATTCGCATCAGATCCATTTTACTGGGCTTGGCTTCCTATGGCTAAAGAGCCATTCTCAGATTTAATAAAAGAGGCTGTTCTTCCATTATTGTCTGATGTACACTTTATAAACGGCCTGGTTCGAGATCTTCATAATTTATTCAAAGTAAGTTTTCGAAACAATTAGTTCCCTTTATGAGTTTCACCAAATTAGTAAGAAAACTTAATCAGTTTTTGCAACACATTTCGAACAATCTAATTCCACGCGTAATCGTCTCAGGAAATTATATGAAAATCATCAAACATCAGAGGACAAGAGAGTAGACAGGTCAAATTAAAAGATAATATTGAAGGTCAAAATAACAATGAAGATGAACAGACCAAAGAAGGGGGGATAATATATCTGTTTTGTTGTCGAAACACGTTTTACCAAGGAAGGTTTACTACAATGACACATTGTTTTTTTGAACACATAAAGGTGACTGAATTTTTTTAATTTCTAGGACTTTCATAAACTGTAGAATATTCCCTAAATATGTTTTCTAGATAGGATTGAAAGAGGTATAAACATGAATTTTATGTACTGTAGCTATAATATGTTTCTCAATTGGAAGGTTAGTCTATTTTCACCATCAATGAGTTCAGAAGATTCGATTTATTTTTGACGTCATTTAGGGATACACTCTGATATCTATATTATTTTCTTATAAATTCCCATGACAGTTCAGATCAGATTGTTCGAGATGTGTTGCGCAAATACATAACGCGTCTTCTTATTGTTGTGTCAAAGCAACTTGTTATATGAATAGAACTTGGACACTGTAGTAAAGTATAATTGAATCATAGAGTAAATTTATGCGATAAAATCACATGGTGATACAGCATTATTTACTAATGACTTTTTGAGCACAATTTTTTGCTTGTGGTCATATCAAGGCACTAACATAACTTTACAACTTCATTTCTTATCCTTCGGTTTTGCTTGTAGTAATATTTTCGATATCTCTGCTATTGGCGTCGAGTCATTCCTGTTGTACATCTTAGGTATAGACTCGATGATCAAAACCTTTCCCCCCCCTACCTACCTATATTACTTTTAACAACTGTAACTCTGTCCCACCTTACGTGTGATTTTGTGTTGATGCATGTATCGCAACTGATGAGTTTTTTTCTAGACTATTCATATTTGCCTGGTCAATCATTCTACTCTCAGTTAAATTCTCATGTTTCTATGGTGTGACTACCCTCAATCTACTGGTGTGATCTATGTGGCTTACCTCAGTCAATGCAGGGTATTTTGTAGAATGCAATATTTTGTCTATATAGGTCAGTAGGGTACGTTTGCCTAGAGAGCTTCTCCGTGAATCACTTAGTAGGTTTAAGTACCACTCTAATTCCTACTTTATTAAGAATCCTACGTAGGGTTTCATATGTTCCTTCCTTATATGGCAAAACTGTAAATGCCCTAGATTTGTTATTTGTTATGGTCAATAGTTCCGCTACTTTATTCCTTTTCTTGTGAGTTTGTGTGATCTTAGTGAATTTTATGGGGCAGTTATTTGGCACTAACTCTTTATTTGTCGGTTTCTTTTCATTATTTAGGTATTCTGATGTACTACTTAGTTACTATTCGGCTTACTAGACTCAACTAAACCTGCCTTTAAAGATAATGGATAAAATGAGTTAAAGTCTAAGTATCTATTAGAGTGTGTTAGTTTTTTTATAAATGCTGTGTTGAAACTCAGTCGGTGAAGCCAGAGGATGTTATCTCCCATATTCATAGCAAGGTGTATGGTACGCTAGTCACTTTCCTTTCTTTCATGCAGCCAGGTGAGGGCTTATGGCGAGTTGTCATCTGAAGTGGTGACGACTAGTGGCGTCCGTCAAGGATGCCCATTATCCCCATTCCTATTCAATTTCATCATAGATGTACTAATGGACTTAACCCTAACTCACTTCAGCGACTCAGGGATTGACTTGCTACCAGGGAAGAATCTCGTTGACTTAGAATATGCGGACGATATAGTCCTTCTAGGCGAGGACTCTGACAAAATGCAGAGTCTACTGAACACCCTGAGCAACAATCTCCGCATGTTTGGCATGCGATTCGCCCCTATAAAATGTAAGATGATGCTGCAGGATTGGACTTCATCGACCCCTAGATTAGAAATAGGATGTGAAGTGGTAGAACACGTTGACCGCTTCACTTACTTGGGAAGTACCATCAGCCCCAACGGGTTGATCTCCGACGAAATTTCAGCACGAATACAGAGGGCTAGGTTCGCATTCGCCAGTTTTCGCCGTCTCTGGCGTAGACGCGATATCCGACTATCGACCAAAGGGCGTGTGTACTGCTCAACAGTCCGCTCCGTCCTCCTTTATGGCTGTGAGACCTGGTCATTGCGAGTGGAAGACATGAAAAGATTAGCTGTCTTCGATCATAGGTGTCTGCGTTCTATCTCCCGCGTGAAGTGGTATAATAAGGTGAGCAATATTGAGGTTAGGCGTCGAGTGCTAGGTAAGGCGGGGAAATCAATCGACGAGACTGTGAAATTACTTCGACTGAGATGGTTAGGACATGTGCTACGTATGCCTAGTCATCGCCTTCCTCGACGGGCAATGTTAGCTGATATAGGGTCAGGCTGGAAAAGAGCTAGCGGCGGTCAAACCAAAACATGGCACCAATCAATGAAATCCACAACAGTTAACCTAAGCCACGTAGGAAGATGTAGACTTCCTGGTTGGGGCCCTCGGGATGGTAAAAACCAATGGTTGGAAACAATTGGTGACATGGCTCAAAATCGTTCTCAGTGGCGCAGATGCATCCACTCCTTGTGACTTATGATTTCCAATTAAACTTTTGTTCTTCGTTATTAATATTCCTTTGTCTCACACCTCTGTTTACTGTTTCCATTATGCATTTCTTCTACTTCCTTCTCTTGCTTTGCGTGCTACATAGATTGTGGCGACTTGAACTGCCGCACATATGTGCAAAGTTCTATGTCGAAAACCGACCGACCGACCGATCTTTTCATAAGTGATAGAATTTCTTGCTTATTTGGATATTCTGAAGTATACCACCCTTATTAAATTGCCTATCAAATCATCCACACAGTTTAGTTAATTTACGGATTCAATGTAAATTTCATCATGAACTGACATCAGTTAAATATTCATCGGAAAACAGAAAACTCGACGGCGGTTTTTTCCAATTTAGAATTCTTTAGTAGTGCACGCTCATCTCCCTAACAAGGGTCAAATTTTAAACCTTCAGCTTATGATACATGTACTTTACCATTCGGTTGTTGGGTTGAAATTTAATGACCTATGAATTCTAAGTTAGCGTGTCGATGACCAATGCCATCGATGAGGAGCGTCCGCTTCACACCTAACATGGTAGACTCCACTCACCTTCCAAACTTTTCATTAGAGCTTCAGGACAATCATACATCTACACTAACATATATTTCTGTTGAAATTGGAACTTTTGTCTAGGTGTCAATAACGTAAAGCTAACTACTTTGTGGGTAGCTTTTCCTAGGTATCGAAATAATCTAAGTTATCAGAGATCAAATACCTGGTTATGTATAACAACGTACTCAAATGCTTTTAAACTGTTTAACTTAATTGTAGGATACCAAGCTTGCATTTATGATAACAACAGTGGCACAGATTGATGGATAATAATTACATCATCCATAGTTATTTTCAATAGTTTCAAACTGCCCTCATTAAAAAAGTAAGACAGCAAGTTAATTTGTAGGAATTTGATTTGTGCCAAGTTTAGTCATGGATTGACATCAGTTAGAAAACCATGAGAAACCAGATAGTATTGGACAGCTATTTTGTCTTAGTTCGGGGCTTCTCAGCAGTACGCACCCACGACCCCACTGGAGACTAGACCCGGGACATTCAGGGTAAGATGCCAAGTTTGTTAATCTTTCAGCCATCTGAAATGGAATCCGATGACTCGTGAATTCTAACTTCTATTTGTAGAGTTAGTAAGATGATTTTCCATTAGCCTAAGTGCTTTGATTTCAACCGACTGCTTTTTTTCCTTTCCTAATTGGACCCTTAGAATAAAATATTGTACATTTACTTAAGCACTTGACTTTCAACAAACGGATCCTGGGTTTGTGTCCCACTGCACTTCCACACAAGTAGTGTACCTCATAGCCTGATACCAAGTAAATGAGTTCATATAAATTAGACTTGAATACTGGTTAGTTTAAGATTATCTTACGCGTAGTTCAAAAAGGCTGTATCTGTGCTCTCTTTATGGTATCGATTAATTCAGATTCATTCAGAATAGCGATATTATCGTTTCATGAGATGAAGTTAAAAACATGATAGGAAGCTAGGTGAAATGAAAATTAAGAGCTACAGATCTAACTGACACCAACTGTGTTACCGTCTTCTTACAGGCCGTTTCCTCTTCTCTAATCTGACTATTATAGGCGTTTTCTCTACTGTTACTACTTTGTTCCAGTTAATTTTAGCGAATTCAGATAGGCATTTAATCACACATATCTTAGTTATCCTCGTCTATATATATACCTAATGTCTTCATACAACTTTCGTAGTTAAAACTTTCCAACGTGACAATATTTTTTTAATACTTAGTCAAGAATAACTATACTATATTTCTGATTAGAATTATAGTTATAGTTTTTTTCTCTTCTGTGCTTATCTGTCATTTAGGTAAACACATAATATTGATTGTTACTTTTTTAGGACTTATGATTGACATTTTATTTAGTGAGTAACTCATCATTATGTGCTGTTTTATTACACTTTGGTAGCACTGAACAGTAGTAAGCTACACGAATATTTAATTAGGTGTATAGCTTATTGTTGAAAGAAGTATACCTACCCTTGTGTTGATGGTATTGTTTCTTACAACAGATGTTCCCCTGGCACTCTTATGGATATGCGAATAACTGATGTGTGTTTTGCAAAACAGAGACATCAATGCCTTGTGTTGTGTTTAGCACACGACTAGCTGATTGTGTCAGCTATATAAGGAGAGATAGATTGGTTGACTGTGCGTCAGTGGCGCAGCGGTAGAATGCTTGCCAACCACGCATTTGGTCCGGGGTTCGATCCCAGACTGGTATTAAGACTGGTAAAGAGGGAAGGTTGAACATTAGGCTAACAACTCCATCCCGTAAGAATACACTCCACTGCTACTGAAGCTTCAAAGCTCTAGCTTGTAGCCATATGTTCCACTGGGAAAGTACAGGGATTAGAAAAAAAGATTGATTGTAAGGCTAATAACCTTCTCCCGTAATTTAGAAAAAATACAACAGCTACTGAAACTTTCAAACTCAAAGCACTTTCTGCAGTGTTCTACGTTGAAAATCTAGTTTGGTCGAAACGAATAGGTCAAGTGGCTCTTTGTTTCAACCTTAATCACCCATCAGCTTACTGTGTAATTATTTTTCACTCCAAGCCGTTATTCAATCCTCTTCTGTTTCAATTATGTTCTCATCTTTTTTGTTTTCACAGTTATTTTCTTGTTGTTTTGAAAAGATTGAATTGATGTATTTCTATGGGATACTTCACCTTACGCTTTTGTTTCCCTTTTCTGTGTATGTGTATACACAGTATGTGTGGGAGAAATTTTGATTTAATATTTAGCATATTTGTATAAAGCGGTTAGTTCCCTTTATGAATTTTGACAAAACAATAAGAAGGTGTAATTCAACTGAAATGTATAATGTATTTGATGTCAATGGTGTTACCATACCAAGTCTTAGAACCCTGACACTCAAACGAATCAGAGATAAACAGACAAATTACCGTAGATCAAATTTACGAAATAATTAAAAATAAGTCACAAAACAAAAAGTTTAATTCCAAGCTAATAAAAATGATCAGCACTGATGCGAATTGGCAACTAATCATATCAAACGTTATCAGGAAAAATAATTTAATCATTCATGGAGAATTCAAATAAGTTGACTTTACATTGCAGTTTGCACTGAAGATGTCTAGAAAAACAATAAAAGCTTTACAATTAAATCATCCAGCTCAGAGAATGCAACTAAATAATAATCATCTAATTATAGAGGGGCATCGATATCCATCCAGCTAAATGATATATATATATATATATATATATATATATATATTATAGAATGTCTTTTAAAGAGTATCTCCAGCATTTCTAATCATCTGTTTTTAATGTTTGGCTTATTCTCATTAAGCATTAATTTAATGACACATATTTTCCAAACATTTTATTATGTCTTGAATGTAGTTTTTTATGACTCCATAATGGATAAGATTTTATTTTGATAAATCACACAGTGCTGTACAGTTATATTAACTGATGACGTTTCGAGCACAAACTATTGCTCATAATCATGTCAAGTCGATATGATTATGAGCAATAGTTTGTGCTCGAAACGTCATCAGTTAATATAACTGTACAGCACTGTGTGATTTATCAAAATAAAATCTTATCCATTATGGAGTTATACTCTACCACATTGCCCAAGTTTTATACTTATAGTTTTTTATGATTTATAAGATGAAGTATAAACACTATATTTTGAGGCATAAGAAGCCAACAACTTCTAACTCTGTAGGTGATTAGATACGCAGAAATCCAGCAGCCTTACGTACACATTGTTTTGGTGATTGGAGAGCGGTTTCTCACATTGTTTTCACACCATTTAAACTCGTGATCTAAGTGTGGCATGTTGATAAAGTCACTAACTTTGGCGATAAGTTACACGAGTTGCAATCTTAAGGATGTAATACAAAAGGTAGCTAGAGAGAGAAAAAGAGAGAGGGAAAAAGAGTGTCTTCAAGTTTGAAGATACGCCTTTCTTAAGGGTAGGTACCAACAAGTACTAACCATCTAAAATCCATTCAAAGTACACCAACAACGACGAAATACCTAACCTGCTTGACCAAATTGCACTGCCATATCACAGTATCACAACACAAAGGACTAGGCACATAACATTACTCCCTCTCTTTTGTGTACAAGTGTTCCTAGGGTTTCAGTTATGTTATATCATTTTTCATGGATAAGTATTAAACCGTATATATGATGTCTTGCTGATTGCCTCTTAAAATTTCATATCAAGCCTGTGTTATTTTATGTAGCTTTATGGTTATGTGTCACAATTAACCAGTAAGATCCTGATAAGAAATAAGGACTATGTAATATCTAGGTAAGCTACATCTCAGTGACTAGGATTTTCGTGGCTAAAGTTGTCAGCTGCTGGTTTTGTAAACCAGCAATCAGTTCCAGTAGCTGAATGGTCAGCAGACACTCACGTTGTAACTGGAAGGTCTTGGTTTCGATCACTGCCTGTTGTCGGTTCATGGGTGCATACTCTTCAGATGTCCAGAACTAACTAGGATAGGAAACAATCGTCCATTAATTCGTGGTATTTTAGTGGGGTTCACTAACGTTGTGGTTCGTAATCTAAGTTGGGATCAGTCTAAATCTCTGTAAATTAACTTAGAAACATAAACTTCATTTTCCAGAATAGAAACAAATGTTCAGTTGTTTATTGTGTATTTTGTTTTAATTTTACATTTTAGATTGATCCAGGTTTTGATCTGTCTACATTTCAAAAGCAAATGTCAGTTTTACGCGGTCAGGTTAGTGGTAATCATTGTTTTGTGTATATGTGTGTCTTATATATTTAAAAATGTATCGATAGAATTGAGTAAGATTGAAGTACTTGAAAAAAAGTCGCAAAGCTTACTTTCCATTAAATCGTAAGAATACATCGGTTGAGAAGCTGCTGCTGCTGCTGGATTCAACATAGAACTTGGCACCGAAGTGCAGCAGTTCGAGTTGCCACGTTCCAAAGAGCACACAAAGGTAGACAGGAAAATGAGAGAAGAGAATCAATAGAATTTAGATAAGTAAGAGTGAGACAGAATGAGTAATGGTTGAAAGGAATATGAAGGTTAAAGAGACTGAATCCATCTGCGCCATTGACAACGATTTTGAGCCATGTCACCTAGTGTCTCCAGCCAGTGATTCTTAGAGTCCCGAGGGCCCCAACCCGGAAGTCTGCATCTCCCTACTTGACTCAGTTTAACTGTCAGGGATTTCATGGATTGATGCCATGTTTTTGTTTGGCCACCACTTACTCTTTTCCAACCTGCACCTATATCAGCTAGTAATGCCCGTCGGGGGAGACGATGGTTAGGCATGCGCAGCACGTGGCCTAACCATCTCAATCTATGTAACTTCATAGCCTCTTCGAGTGATTTTCCCTCTTTGCCCAACACTCTACGCCTAACGTCAACATTACTTACCTTATTATACCACCTAACGCGAGAGAGAGATCGTAAACATCTGTGGTCAAAAACAGACAATCTCTTCATGTCTTCGGCTCTCAATGGCCGTGTCTCACCGCCATAGAGAAGGACGGAGCGAACTGCTGAGCAGTATACACGTCCCTTGGTTGACAGCCGGATGTCACGCCTACGCCAGAGACGGTGTAAGTTAGCGAAAGCAGCCCGAGCTTTCTGGATGCGTGCTGTGATTTCGTCACCAATCAATCCGTTGGTGCTGATACAACTTCCCAAATAGGTGAAGTGGTCAACATGTTCTATCACTTCACTCCCTATCACTAAGCTAGGAGTTGACGTAGTCCAGTCCTGTAGCAGCATCTTACATTTCACAGGGGCGAATCGCATGCCAAACATACGAAAATTGCTGCTCAAGGTGTTCAGAAGACTCTGCATTTTGTCAGCGTCCTCCCCTAACAGGACTATGTCGTCTGCGTATTCTAAGTCTATAAGACTATTCCCTGGTAACAAGTCGATTCCTAAGTCGTTAAGTTCAGTTAAGGATACTTCCATTAGCATATCTATGATGAAGTTAAACAGAAAAGGGGAAAGTGGACATCCTTGACGGACACCACTAGTTGTTATCAATTCAGATGACAATTCCCCATAAGCCCTTACATGGCTACGTGAGTTTGAGTAGAGTGCCTTGATTAGTGCAATGTACTTTCTTGGCACTCCCTTCATAGTCAAACATTGCCATAGAACCTCTCGATCCACTGAATCGAAGGCCGCCTTCAAGTCAAGGAATATGGCAATTTTTGGACGCCTAAAAGTGTGCCTATGTTCTAGGATCTGTCGGAGAGTGAAGATATGATCTATACACCCTCTACCTGGCCTAAAGCCCGCTTGATTTTCCCTCGTTTGTTCCTCCCGAGGTCGGCTTAGTCTATTCATGATTACTGAGCCTAGGATTTTAGAGACTATATTCGTTAGCCTGATTCCTCTATGATTATCACATGAGGACTTATCTCCCTTCTTGAATACTGGTATAATAAGTGACTTACCCCAGTCTGACGGTTGAGAAGACTAATAAGTGTGTTACGCGTGATGAACCATCGCTTCCTCGATGATCAGTGTTAGCTCTTATAGCATCTGTTTGCAAAATAGTTAGGAGTGGTCGAACCAAAAAACGCTATTAATGCATGAAGTGTTTGACTGTTGATTTGAGTCAAGTTAGGGAAATGTATGTATGTATGCTTTTATGAGGTATGGTGATTTGAACTGTTGCACTTTTGTACAAAGTTTTATATTGAGAATTTGGTTCAGTTCAGTTCATGTCGACAAATTTTCATTCATTGATTTATGACGAAATTATTGCTTAAAACTCTAAGTACTTCACTGGAAAGTAAACCTAATGTTGGTGTATTTTCTGTGCTGATGGCTTTATTGCAAAGCTTTCAGTGCCTTTATATACACAAAACTTTCGCGTTAACTTCTATGAGAAATGAACTGTAGGATTTCTCCATGAATGAAGTGGGTTGTGATAAAAGCAATCGTGTGGTGTTTTCGCACATGTTATAAGCTAACGCCGAAACAGATATTCCAGCTGCATAAAAATTTCTATGAAACACCTTTAAAACAGCCAAATGACATAAACAACAATTATGATTTAATTCCTTTAAGCAAGTAATACGAAGTCACTTAAAACCCAACTACGTGGAGAAATTCAAATCGTAACTGACTGCCTTTGTTCTACCCTTTAAAAGTAGGAGGTAAAGAAAGAATGGCAAGCGTGTGCTGCTACAAAATTTTATATTCTACCAACGAAAGACTTCCCTCCTCCGGTGACCTTGATTGTCATTGGTTGTCTTCGTATATTTTCTTAGGATAATATCCAAATGGTTGTAGAAAAATCTCCCGATACATCCAACCAGTCCTAGGTCACCGGAAAAGACGGGTACTTCATGCATACAGAATTTCAAAAGCTCACTTTACATTAAAGTTAGCGCTGAATTTGTAGTTTATAGAAAGACAATGAAAACTTCGCAATAAAGCCGTCACCTCAGAGAACAAAGCAATACCAAATAAATTGATCTGAGCTACAAATCTCCTTCATAGATTTAGAAGTAGCTTTTTCAACATATGCTTTAAGCAACTATATTTATTTACTTACAAATACGCATATAGATACATATTTAGAAATATCCAGATAAACTGGGTGTTGAGGTGGCTGTATGTAGAGTGTTAGATATAATGCAAATCAGAAAATGAAGGTAGGAATTTCCGTCAGCTGGGTTGAGCGTGTCAATTCACCCCCTTAGTTTTCTGGATAAAGACTACATTGGATAAGAATAAATGCTTGATCAGATCAATTTTTGGACTTTAATCATTAGTTTTAGTTTTCATTCGGCTTTTATTTATTACATATTATTCGTTCCTTGCATTCAATGTGGAACATAGGGCTTTACTGGGATATATCCAGTGCACTTGGTTCTGTGCTACAACTTTAAATGAGCAAATGCCCACAGGCTTACATTTCCTTACATTTTCTCTTAGTGTTCCACGCAAGGGCCTGACATGTGATATCAAGATATAATAATAATAATAATAAGTTATCGCTAGTGATATGACTCGAAACACATCATGGAAGTTCAAATGTATTCAGTCTTTATTAAAATTTAAGTATACAAGAATTTCACTAATTTACATTTTATTATGGTGTGGGAATTGGAATTCTGGACTTTTGGTTCATGATTAACCACAGTTTACTTGTTTTTCATCACGAATTGGTTGGTTGATTCAATTTGTAGTGTATCGATAGCAAAGTAGGCTCGACATCGTGTGTATCGGTGGTTTAATGGTAGGATGTTCACTAACCACGCGCATGGCTTGGGCTCATTTTCTAGCCGACGTATTCTTAGATCTCGCCTAGCTTGTCACCGCTAGGAAGCTCAAGAAAGAAAGAGGGTCGAGAGCGGGGCTAATAACTTCACTCTGTAAATGGAAGACTATGCCTACCGAAACGTCAAAGCCTCTGAAGTCCTATGTTCTACTCGGAATGCGAAGGAATGAAAACAAATCGTTATCAGCTCAAGAGAGTTTTCGAACACCAGCGGACATTATTTGGCTGTCTTGCCATAGTTTGATTCTTTTCGTATGCTTACGCAGTCACTATTTCTTAGGGAATAAAGCTTGAGTTATCATTCATCAGCAAGGAGATTACTAAAGTCAGTCTGCATCTATTTATTCCATTCATGATTTAATACCATTGACAATCATTTTTGTTAGTCAGCAGTTGTTGGGATATTCCAAAGATGAACGTCAGTCAGTGACGATTTATCGATGCAAAATCTTCAATAAGATGTCGAACCATATAAACACTGAATTGATATATAATATTATATATATATATATATATATATATATACTATAGCGCAATATTTACATTAGACTTCATCATAGATTTATTTGATTAAAACACAGTGATACAGTATTATCTACTGATAACGTTTCCGGCACAATGTTTTGCTCATAATCATATCAAGGTATTCACATAACTCTCAAACTTCGTTTATATAATCCTGTCATCACAGAAGAGGGTGGGATAGAGCTACGGTTCTAAAAAATAATATAGGTAAGTAGAGGGAGAAATTTTGACGATTGAATGTATGCTCATCGAATCTATACTTAATACGTACAATAGGCAAGACTCCCATGCCATTATCAGGGATGTGAATAATATCAATATCAATAAAACCAAAGGATAGGAAATCATGGAATTATATAAACGTATTATGCAAGTTATGTTAATGCCTTGATATGATGACTGTGAGTAGTGAATTGTACTCGAGAAACCATCAGTGAATAAGTGATACTGTATCAGTTAAATTTTTCTATAGTTCAATTATACTCTACTACACTATCCAAGTTCTATTCTTATACATTTTATTTGTTTTTTTTGTTTTTCTAGGTTGTTAACTTAATTGCAGCTTTACGTGATTCAAAAAGTCCATATGATCTAGTTAGAATGCCAGTACTTACATTAGAATTATCTACTAAAAAGCGTTATAATAAACCACGTTGGCCACATCAGCGATTAGCTGCTGGCTTAGCTCATGGCACCGCTACAAGTACTACTAATGATGATGACAGTATTGATTATTTTAGAAGTTATACCCATCACCCTACAGTTGATGTTATTCATCCAGTTCTGAGTGTAAATACTGATCAACAGTCAGTGTCAGTTGATACTAATCAAATGCATAATTTAATCGGTTACAACAATTGTACAGATTTAAATAATATTCAACCAACTACAAGTATAACTCAGAGTAATAGTACTGTTGCTGCAGGTGACAATAATGCCTATGCGATTGCTGTAGGTACTGAGGAGGAGGAGGAGGATGGTATTGATGCCTTAGAACATGGATTAGTTGCTTTACCTTCTTTTAAACCTAAACAATCTATATCAACTGATAAAACAGCTGAAGTAGATCTTGCTACTGCTAATAGTCTTGGTGATGATGTACAAGAAGATGATGAGGACGCTGAACAACGTTTTAATTTACGTTATTATAAAAAACCATTTTTCAGTTGGTTTTAAAATAAATTGATCTCATAATTTATAAAACTGATGTATAATTGTTAGAATTCTTCATGCAAGTATATATACGTATTTCTCAGCTAGCTTTTCAGTGTCTCTCCGTTATATTCCATCATTATCTGATCATTACGGAGAGTAAACTCAAAATGTATTGGATCAGTATTGTCCTTTCCTTCTGTGTCAAGTATTTCCTCGGTTAATTTCTTCACATATGAATTATATGGTATGTGTACTTATGTATGTATACACTTTATCTGGAAGGGGAAGATGTGAATTGATCGTCTGGATAATTTTCTTTTGTCTCTATTCCTTTTGTTTTCACTTTCTAACGATTGAAAACTATTATTATTATTTTTTGACTGTTGTTTTTGTCACTGTTTGATGTGTGTTGTACTCTTTGCACCCATTTCTTTATTTTCTCTTTGCCTCCCTTCTTTCTCTCCCTTCTTCCCTTTTACTATTCTGGTTGTTTATTTTTCATAAAGATATCTTTATGGATTGCTTCTGTGTATATGTGTGTGTGTGTATAGCGTCCTTCAACTTGAAATCAGATATACTTGAGACTTTTCAATGTGTTTTCGCGTCACACTAGATGACTGGAAATGCTGTTTACAAATAAATGGCTGTGGCATCTGGTTAACTACTAGTTTGTGTGTATGTAACTGTGTAATATTGTGTATTTGACCTTGCACAGGTTATCTTTATTTGTATAATTCATTTGCAATTTTTATCTAATTAATTAATTGAATTTATTTTATTTTTTGTCCATTTCATTATTTGTATCAAAAAAAAAATAATAAAATGATGAACAGAGCTGTATGGTATGTTCACTTTTTTCCTTCGTTTCTTTGTAAACTTAAGTGGAACACATTAGGGCTTCAAGCCTTGTGCTTTGAAGTTTCATTATCGATGGTGTTATTCCCCATTGCGTGGTGGGGTTGCTAGCCTTACACCCTAAGCCCCCTCTTTTCAAGGCTTACTGTTGGCTAGCCAGAGTTCAGGAGTCAAACTCAGACCATTTGCGTGTCTGACGAGCATTCTACCATTGAACCACCGACACGTGTGTTATGTTCACTGGCTGTATTTTTCAATAAAAGATTTGTAACTTGTTTCTTGTTCTTTTTTCCCACCCTTTCTTTTCTGTGCATAAATTGTGATTTCTTTAACTTGAATACAACCGATAAGTAATTTCTGAAAAAGTTTGCATACCTAGTGTTGACATTAATTGGTTAGTTATCTGGATTTCACTTACCCGGAACAAATTTCCAATGCATCAGGCTAGATGAGCCATAGTTATTTTATGAAAGAGCTGATAGTTATACTACCACCTAGTTGGTCAGGCTGCAGTAGGTGGAAGGGGTTCGAACCCGGGAGACGGTTAAAAGTTGAGTACTTTAACCAGTGCAGTAGTAGCACTTCTTTAATACAGTTGTTGTATCACTGAACGCTCCTTGTTGTTCTGTTATCGTTATACTCTATGTGGAATTATAGGATGCATAGAAAAAGGTAAAGTGGTTGATGTTTTGACTTATATTGAGAAAGTTTACAAATGAGATCATTATCTTTCTTGACATAGATGGAGTACTTCATGTGTGGCATTTCAAACTAGGAACATGACATTGATTACCTCAGCTTTAGTGACCTATCAATGTGTTTATTACAGTTCAACAGAACGTCAGTGAGTGAAGCCGACTAGTAACATCTCTGACTGTAGCACTGGTTGATGCAGTTTTGAATCTCTTTGTAAATATCAGTTCCTCCAAGGTTACAAATACGCTTTCATGACGAATCTGAATGAGCATGAAACCTAAGTCAAAGTCAATTGTTTTCAACCATCTGACATAATTTCGAAGTATGTTACTATGGTGAGTCACGTAGCTTGGGGATCACCTTTTAAACTTGACTGTTTCCTTTTTGTTCGCATTCAATCTCCGGAAGAGATCTTTCGTGTATCAGGCTAAGAGCCATGCTTCTAATGTGAAGGTTTATACTACCACATTAATTGGCTAGGGTGAAGCAGCTGGAGTGAGATTCGAAACCGAACTCAAACCCGGGACAGACTGGCTGCTAATTGAGTACTTGAGTCAATGAGCCACATTTCCATTGGCCCTAGATTTTGCCTGTGTCAGCATGTTTGTTGGTTAGAGTTTTCTTTGAGAGTCTCTTGCAGAATTTCATATGCACCCGGTTCTCTTGGTTATTTTGAACGAAGCAAACGCAATATAGGAACTCATTATTTTATTTCACGTCTTTTCTGAGGCTTATGGGAGTCTAAATATCACCTAAGTCATTATAAATGTAAATATATTATGCTCTTCAAGAATTATTTCAACTCAAGCAGCATTTAATAGTGATGAAACAAGAAGTATTGTGGCGTGTGCTACTGATAAGATATATCAGGAGTATATAAAGAGACGTTCTTCGGCATAAGAACATCAACTAGCAGAGAGATAAATGTGATGTAAGAAAAAGCAAGTGATACTACGTTGCGCAGATACATGAGAGATGTGGAAGGAACACAAAGAAACACAATCTTAAAGCCGGAAATACCACAACACGAAGATCTATGCAAATGGTAATTTGAAGATAAGGTTTACATAATTTCGCTGCATAGAGATACCGGATTTCAAATAAACATTCCTTTACCAAGTCTCTCATTTTCTGCTTTCCCAGCTGGTTTTGCATCCTCCTGACAATGAGGATCCCATCTCCGGCTACTTTCGAGGAAGGAGATATCAGTAGCTTCTTACGGGACTTCGATACCTATTAATTCAACAAGCAGAGTTTATTTGTATGTATATGATGCCAAGTTCGAAGGGATTTGGAGGGAGTAAAATCTTAGGGATGGTGAAAGCAAAATTGATACTTAATCGAACAATTAAGTAAATTAGAAGCTCAACAATGAGTTTAGTTCAGTAAGTAAAAATGGAATCGTGTAAAGATTTTGTTGCAATAAAATGCAGACCTAGTTAGTATTATCTTCAAATATCGAAGTGAAATTTCACCTACTTAATTTTACTACTTATATATTTAAAAGTACAAACAATTTTAACAGTAAGATTTAAGTTACTTCTTAAGTAGTTAGTTAGTAGCACATGTTACTTGGACAAGATGATTATCCTCTGATTGTGAAATACTGTACTAGACACTAAGAGACCTTCTTATTGATTATACGAACTGGAAGATTTTGTCTATTACACTCAATAATAAAAGATCAAAAGTGGTAATTGTGCGTCGGTGGCACAGCGGTAGAGTGCTCGCCGACCACGGATGTGGTCCGGGGTTCGATCCCCGGCCGACGTGCTCCTTTACCTCGGTAAGCCAGTAATAGGACTGGTAAAGAGGAAAGGTTGGGCATGAGGCTAGCAACCCCATCCTGTAAAATTGAACACTGCTACAGAAACTTCAAGCCCTATGTTCTACTGGGAACGTAAAGGAATAAAAAAATAAGTGGAAATCAAGAAAAAAAGCATAAATGCATGGGACAAAATGCCACTGTCTGCTTGAGATGAACAGTTGTATAAAACCCATATCAACCAGTAGTGGTTGTTAGCCAGATTGAAGTGATCTAAACTCCTAGCTGAGTAAATTGCGAGTTTGATTTAACGTATTACTGATTCGCTCAAGTAGCTATCCAGAAATCAGGTTGTTTGAACTGATACTGACTCTATGGGTGGAGTCAAACTGGGTACACTACTGATGAGGTCCACCTCAAACGAACGAGACATCCATGTGGCGTTTAAATCACTTGTGTCTAGCTACCAAGCACTTCTAGTTGATGCGAGTGCTTTGTAGATACTCATCTTAACCAATCAATAGTATGGAGTGTCAAGATACTGATTCCTGAAAAAGAAAGTGTATTAATAAAAAGGTTTATTCTATTGGTTGCCTCAAACATAAATAAATGGATACGAATAAGGAGAATTAGTCCAGATTAAGAGCACTGGTTAACTGTTTCATTCATGAAACTCAGGTGGACTGATCACACGACGAGTAGGTTAAAATTCAGACAATCGAATTTATGATCTGTGAATTTGGATATAAGATCAGCCACTCACTGATGTTAGTTAATAAACTCGGTGATGTTGATTTGTGAAAAAGAAACCACCTTCAAACTAATCACATTTGCGTCTAACCTAAAATTTAAACTAATTTAGACCGTTGAATTTCACGCTATATTTACTAGGTGAAACACATGTCAGAATAGTGATCTGGGTTCAGTTACACTACAGGTGCATATAAACTTGATATGGAGAACGAAATAAAATAAAATAATGAGTCTACATGCTAATAAAGTGGTCTTCGGTAGACAAATATCAACAGTCGTTTGTTGTAACTTAATATTACCTGTTCCTTTGCTGATCATTTTCATCCAAGTAGGAAGAACAAGATTCGGATAGCTTTTTTAGAAGACGGAGTTGTCGACAGTCTAAAATATATATAAGATCGATTAAGTAAGAACATGTGTTATTCTTAATTCTGCTTAGCAGAAAGTTCATTATATTTGTCTGGAACAAAAGATTGATAGTTGAATTTTTGTTTCCTGAATTAACAAGAAAAATGCTTACCACTAGAATAGTCTAGGGTCTGTTTCAGGTATCCAGAAAGGGATGTTTTCGAGTTAAAGGTATATTTCGTTGCTGATATTAGAGTTAACGTAATATTAGATAGTCATCTTTATTGTTCTGGGTTAAAGTCTGCTTTGTGTCTGTAATTTTGCCTAATTTTCTCCCCTGGTATTAACCTATAATCTTTAGTATGCAGCGATCATACGCACATGGTGTCTTTTGTATTTCCCACTGTTTCTGATGTTTAGTTATCAACTCTTTAAGTTCATCAGTTGTCACTGTCATTTAAAACATAATATGCAGCATCTCAACTGTTCTGATTTTAGTTTTATGACTGCAGAAGCTCCCTTGTCAACAGTCTTTCCTCTCCCCCTTCTTGCTTTTCTACGTGCTGGTGGCATTTTTGTTGTCTTTGCGGTTGATGTTGTGATTTTAACGACCAGATTAGTTATTATCGCTTTAGTTTTGCATCTCTTGCAGTCAGCTAGGTAGTATTATTGGTCATGTCAAAGACTCTTACTACTGTCGTGGTTTCTTCCAACTATTGAAATCCTCATTTCGGGATGCAGATATTGTCAGTTATTTTTTTGTTAAATCGTGGAAAATACCCATGAGGAAATTAGAGAGGAAAGAACAAGAAGCTCGACAAAGATAGCTTCTTGGTGATTCCATTCTCAAAATCTGTACAGTTACATTTTTCACATAATTCCACACAGTTACAATTATTTCAGCATAACAATGAAAGGAAATTAAAGAAGATAATTTTTAACTTAGCATAAAAGTTTGAACGTGTGAGTACAGATCACAAGCGGTATCGAAAGAAAATTATATAGAACTAGTAAACAATTACATCATAATGCAAAATAGTTTCTAAAGAAGACAGGTGTGAACGGGTGTTCATAGGAAAAAATTGAAGTAATAGTTTTTACAACTGAATATTAAAAAGCGAAGAGAATTAAAAAAAGACAACTAAGGAGCGAAGCATAACTGGATCCATAGAAAGTGTAGAGGTTGGACTAGTTTCTTTTGAACATATAACTGCTGCTTCTTGATGAATAAGGTGATGGCTTCTGCAGTACAAAGAAGTCAGAAGCATACTACTTTGGTAGACGTTTGTTCAGTTTGTAAATGACTCTGGATGATGGGTCAGTTGAGATGTTGAAACAAGTGCTGATGAGGTGTTCAATAATAGCACTTCTGTATGAACTGGTGCAGCTGCTTTTCAGCCATGCAAGATAGTGTCCTCTAACACGTTTTGGAAGGATACGCATAGAACAACCTAGGTAACTGGCACTTTAGGAGCAAGTGAATTGATATATACACATTACAGTGGGAATATACTAGAGTTTGTTCTTCGAACTGCTTACAAGTAGTGGGCAGCTTTGCTGCAAAGAAGATCTTCTTTAGGGAATTATAGATTCTCCTCTTTAAGACATCTGCAGCTAAGTCCTCCCTGAAGTTCAGGTTCATATGCATTTTCTTCGTTGACACTGAGCTGCATTCTTCTCTTCTTG